TTTTCTACTTATTAGAAATGAGGTTTTTATTGGTGTTTAAAGTTGAATAGTGACGTTTATCTTCAAAACGCTGCAGTAAAATGGCTAGATAATTGGTGTGCACACTCTATGGGACGTCCCGTACATGACCTGACCATTGTTTTTTTCTACTTATTAGAAATGTTTTTTTTATAGTGTCTAAAGTAGAAGAGAGGCCTATATCTCCAAAACGCTGCAGTAAAATGGTTAGATAATTGGTGTGCACACTCTATGGGACGTCCCGTACATGACCTGACCATTGTTTTTTTTCTACTTATTAGAAATTAGGTTTTTATTGGTGTTTAATAGTTGAAGAGTGACGTTTATCTTCAAAACGCTGCAGTAAAATGGATAGATAATTGGTGAGCACACTCTATGGGAAGTCCCGTACATGACCTGACCATTGTTTTTTTCTACTTATTAGAAAATAGGTTTTTATAGGTGTCTAAAGTAGAAGAGAGGCCTATATCTCCAAAACGCTGCAGTAAAATGGTAGATAATTGGTGTGCACACTCTATGGGACGTCCCGTACATGACCTGACCATTGTTTTTTTCTACTTATTATAAATGAGGTTTTTATTGGCATTTATAGTACAATAATGGCCTATATCTCCAAAACGCTGCAGTAAAATGGTTAGATAATTGGTGTGCACACTCTATGGGACGTCCCGTACATGACCTGACCATTGTTTTTTTCTACTTATTAGAAATTAGGTTTTTATTGGTGTTTATAGTTGAATAGTGACGTTTATCTTCAAAACGCTGCAGTAAAATGGCTAGATAATTGGTGAGCACACTCTATAGGAAGTCCCGTACATGACCTGACCATTGTTTTTTTCTACTTATTAGAAAATAGGTTTTTATTGGTGTCTAAAGTAGAAGAGAGGCCTATATCACCAAAACGCTGCAGTAAAATGGTTAGATAATTGGTGTGCACACTCTATGGGACGTCCCGTACATGACCTGACCATTGTTTTTTTCTACTTATTAGAAATGAGGTTTTTATTGGCATTTATAGTACAATAATGGCCTATATCTCCAAAACGCTGCAGTAAAATGGTTAGATAATTGGTGTGCACAATCTATGGGACGTCCCGTACATGACCTGACCATTGTTTTTTTCTACTTATTAGAAATGAGGTTTTTATTTGTGTCTAAAGTAGAAGAGAGGCCTATATCTCCAAACGCTGCAGTAAAATGGTTAGATATTTGGTGAGCACACTCTATGGGACGTCCCGTACATGACCTGACCATTGTTTTTTTCTACTTATTAGAAATTAGGTTTTTATTTGTGTCTAAAGAAGAATAGAGGCCTATATCTCTAAAACGCTGCAGTAAAATGGTTAGATATTTGGTGAGCACACTCTATGGGACGTCCCGTACATGACCTGACCATTGTTTTTTTCTACTTATTAGAAATTAGGTTTTTATTTGTGTCTAAAGAAGAATAGAGGCCTATATCTCCAAAACGCTGCAGTAAAATGGTTAGATAATTGGTGTGCACACTATATGGGACGTCCCGTACATGACATGACCATTGTTTTTTTCTACTTATTAGAAAATAGGTTTTTATAGGTGTCTAAAGTAGAAGAGAGCATTGGGACATTAGGACATGGGACATTTAATTCATGAGAAACTGTCATTTTAATACTAAAAAAACATGAAAAAAGAGGCATTTAAAAAGAGTGTATACTTTTTTTTATCTCTTTTTACAAATAATTATGCTGTAAACCTGTACATAAAAAATGTCTTGAGGTGTTACCTGTAAAGAAAAAAAAAAACATATGTCAAAGAATTACAAATGTCAAAGACGAAATGAGTGTATATAAAAAGGAAAACAGAGTAACACAAAAACATTCTCAAAACATGGAATATATCATCATAGATAGATAGATAGATAGATAGATAGATAGATAGATTAGATAGAATTTAATTAAAAAGAAAGGAAGAAAGAAAGAAAGAAAGAAATAGATAGATAGACAGATAGATAGATAGATAGATTAATTACAAAGAAAGAAAGAAGAATGAATGAAAGAATGAAAGAAAATAGAAAGATAGAAAGAAGAAATAGAAAGAAAGAAAAGAAAGAAAGAAAGAATGAAAGAAAGAAAGAAAAATAAAGATAGAAAGAAAGAAAAATAGAAAGAAAGAAAGAAAGAAAGAAAGAAAGAAAATAGAAAAAAGAAAGAAAGAAAAATAGAAAGATAGAAAGAAAGAAAAAATAGAAAGATTGAAAGAAAGAAATTAAGATAGAAAGAAAGAATGAAAGAAAAAAATAGAAAGAAAGAAAGAAAGAAAATAGAAAAAGAAAAAGAAAGAAAAATAGAAAGATAGAAAGAAAGAAAAAGTAGAAAGAAAGAAAAATAGAAAGAAAGAAAGAAAGAAAGAGAATGAAAGAAAGAAAGAAAATAGAAAGAAAATAGATAGATAGATAGATAGAGAGAGAGAGAGAGAGAGAGAGAGAAGAGAGAGAGAGAGAAGAGAGAAGAGAGAGAGAGAGAGAGAGAGAGAGAGAGAGAGAGAGAGAGAGAGCGAGCGCTGGGCAACTGAAGCGCCATGAAAGCGCATTCTCTCTGCCGTTACTGAAATTACCGTATTCATAGTAATAGGCGCACACGCTTATTTTTTTAGCGGCTGGCTTGACCGTGTATTTTCAAACTGCGGCTGGCTTGACCGCGGAAAGCTCATTGGCCACCCCTGTGGCCACCCCAGATCTGATAGGTAGTTGGTCAAGTTCGTCAACACAAGAAACAAGAGAAATGCTGTCAATCAATGGTGACAGCTGATCAACCGATTTAGGTCCAGTTTTACCTTTTTTAATAACACAGTAATAGTCATACTGAGGCTCTGAGAGCTGATTTCTGCTCAGCGGACTTTGGCCATGCAGGTCAGGTTACTAATGAGATGCGCGCGCGGGCTGCTGCTCCTCCGTGAAACAGATCGACGGTCTTACAACAGCAACAAATACAACGATAAAAACGCGGGAATCTGTAGATTGAGAGGTATGGTAATTTAATGTTTAGTTATATCGTAGTTCCCTGTGAATGGGTAGGAAAACTGAAAAAGTCGAACTACACTGTACTAGCTAGATTAGTATCCTGAGAGAGTGGAGACGGTAAAGAGAACGCGCGCAGCTCTTAAAGGGGCCACACCTTATTTCCACTCATACATCGCCATGAAATATAAAACGCTATTTTCTGGAAGACAGATGGTGGTTTTTGCAGATGTGTGTGTTCAATTATAGCTAATGTTATATTTTTCGCCAACCACTGTGTTAAATATAGTGTGAGAGTAGATTTAAGTTAAAACACAAAAAAACAAGCTGTGACTTATTTATTTGCTCTGTGGTTTAAGGGGTGTTTAAAAAGGACTTTTTGTTTGCATCAATTAGCTCATCTTCACAGTCCACATATATTTTTAGAAGTTTAAATAGGCAGAGTAAATTGCATTAAAATGGCACAAATGTCATAAGTTAAATTATGAAGAAGCATCTTGACTATTTATGATTTTGAGTCTTAACTGTTTGATTTTAAAAACGTATTAATGTATGCTGAATCAAAGCCAACGTTTCAATTTATATTTTCATCAAGGCCTTGGACATGAATACTGTCTGGGTTGAAAAACACTTTTTGCACATTTTCATACATCACAAGGCATCCTAATGAAATTATTCAGTCATCAGGCTATGCTCTGTGTTACCTGTGTTTGCTTTACTTATTTAAGTCCCCTCTTGTGGTTAAATAAAAACACTCCTGGCAAAGAACAAACTAAGAAATTCAAATTCCAGTATCTCTAACAAATTATATCAAAGCTAAATAATAACATAAACTAAGCATGTAAAGAACAACAAATATTTTGTTTTGTTTTTCTCACAAACTTAGTTTTTTCTTTTGCTTTTACAGATACACTTTTGAATAAGGTCCTATCTTTAAGCATGTTGGTTTGTCCTGTTGGATTTCTGTGTTTTCATGTAACCACAAGATGGTGCCTCAATTAGTAAAGCAAACTCAGGTAACAATACAGGTGACACAGATGATGAGCTGACGACCGATACATGTTATTGTATAGGATGAGTTCAGAGCAGTTTAATTTTGCTAATCTAATCTAACTTGTGAAGTGACAAGGACTTAAATCCACTACAAGAAAATAGTTCTTAGAAAATATTTACCCTATCCTGACCATAATTACTGATTAAAAATAGACATGTTAAAATAACCAGAGATACTTGAGGACTGTCTGTGATTGGTGGTTAGGACTGTTTTTAACAGGATAGACACCTTTATTTGACAGTTATGAGAAAGGAAATCATGGGAGAGAGAGAGGATGTGACATGCAGCAAAGGACCGGGATTTGACCCATGGTCGGCTGCGTACATATACGCATTTAACTTCGCTATGCCATGGCCACCCCACTCTAGCTTTGTGTCCCATCTTGGCCACCCCCGAAAAATGTCCTGGATACGCCACTGGATAGGAGGCTTCCTGAGGAGTCATAAGCGAGGATACACAGGTGCATCCTACGCGGAGCTGTTATTGACTAAACGTGACGCACGTGTCAATTCTCCTCCCCCTTCACATCGGTCACAATCATTTTAATTTATACTTTACCTTTGCAGTTTATATAAACCACACATCTCAGATATTTCAACAGTATAGCCTATCGTTGTTATTATTTATTATGAATTTATTAAATAACCAAACTTCAACAACATAAGGGCAGATCCTTTTAGCGCTGCTGATGACAATGTGGAGTGACGCTCGAGTGATCAAGTATTCCAATGTATAGAAAAGCTTTTATGCGATTCCTCTGTCCTCCTTTCCTTTCCTCGCTTCCTTCCCTCGCATCCTACAGGGGGTGGAGCCGAGACGCAAGGAAAGGAAGCAAGGAAAGGAAACGAGGATGCACAAATAAGAAATGAGAAGCACCCATGGTTCTGGGAGAGTGTGGAGTGACAATGGTCCATTTGGGTGATAGGTGGCGGTAATGCACTTATGTGTCTGCAAGCCGCCGCAAGAAGAAGAATATGATGCAGCGCTGGAGTCATCTTCTTTAAGTTAATTTGAGTATAGGTTAAAATAATAGTATAGCCTATACAAATAATAGACAATAATACAACGTCTCTTTTTCGATTAATATAAAATAAAAATCGAGCCAGTGTTGTATAAGTCATAGTTAAGGCTGCAGCGCAATGGCAAACCGTAACCTAAAACAGGTGAATATTCAAAACAATGCTAACGTTACATCCCCGCACCCGCAGAATGTGAAGCACAGCGCGGAATCTTCCCCAGATCCCAGCGAAAAGATGGAGGCGGCTGCTCCATCACCGCGGGACTCTAGTCCTGCAAACACTGCGCCTCAAGAGATGGCTTTAGACCCCAAGAACTTCAGGAGACCCGGGGAGAAAACATTCACTCAGCGGTGCAGACTGTTTGTTGGTAATCTCCCATCAGATATGACGGAGGAAGATTTCAAGAAGCTTTTCTCCAAATATGGCGAGGCAAATGAGGTTTTCATCAACAGAGATCGAGGATTCGGCTTCATACGCCTGGTGAGTCTCTGCTCTACACATCTTGTATGGGGGAAAAGTGGTCTATTGGTTTTTTTTTTTTTTTTTCATAGAATGGTTCATAAGTAGTTGCGTCTATGGATTAAAAATATCTTATGTCTATTTTTTCTAGGTTAATATATAATTAAGCGTATACATCAAAATTACACTTAACAAATAATCAAAACCTTGAATGTACTACCACATTCAGACACGAAGTGGAGCCTCCCACAAATTACTGAGGGGTCCAAAAACTAATGTGTAGGCAACCTGTAATATGTGGCTTTCTAATTTTATGGATATTGGTAAAGAATGTTCTTTTTGTAACAACGGTGAGGAGTCTATGAAAATAGTGTTTTTCTACTTTTTCAGTTAAAGTTAATCTGATAACTGAATGTGAAAGAAATTATTTGCTACTTTGAGAATGATGATAAAAATATTCAGAATTTTGTAAATTTTATCATCTTAAATGGCAAGTTTTTCATCCATAAATGTAGATTGTCAAAATCCCCTCCATTATAAGGTTTTTTCTAACGAACTCACTCTGTTAATGAAGTCTCTTAAAATTGTAAAAAACTCGAAAGCTATATTGTAAAATATTATGAATCTGTATTTGCCGTCTTGTCTCTTATTTTATTAATTATTTGATTTAATCATCTTTGGAGTTTGTTACTCATGCCTGTTTTGTTTTATGTTTTTGTACTGTTTTTACAAGTTCGATAAAAAAAAATATATATATATATAAAATAAATAAATAATAATTATAAAAAAGGATCTAGTACGAATTCACGGGTGGGAAGTCACGGGTTTGACTGCCGTTACAGTGCACTTAGGTTGGAAAAGTTGGATATATTTTGTGTAAGATCTTCGGGTGAATTTCTCTTACTTTGTTAGAAATACAGAATTTGTAAGGAAGCAGCCAAGCTTTCCTCCAATTAACATCTCCTAAAATGGAATTCCAGTAAAATTTCCCTTTTGGAATAACTCCCTTTTGTTCGTAGTTGTAGTTGTAGTAGTTGTCTTATATCTTTGTTAGTACATTGTTTATCAAAAATATATTTACCATTTATAAGGTGATCTTAATCTTTATTTTCAACTTTATAATAAGTCATATGGGTGCACATTAAATTAATAAGCCCAGAGGGATCAGCTTTAATTACTACAGAAAATTCTTTAAATTTTATAGGAAAATTGAATTTGGACAAAAAAGAATCGTAAGAGAGAATTTTTAAAGATGAATCAAATAAATCACTTAAATACACTGAACCATGATCCAACCATTTCTCAAAAAATAAACTCTTACCTTTAACTGTAATCAATTCGTTGTTCCATATTTTCATTCTGTGAGGAGACAAATTATGCACAATGCTCAATTTCCAGGCCAAGAGTGCTTGCTCATGAAATTTGGACAGTTTTATAGGTCATTTAGAAGGTACAAAATTGCAAGTTAAAAGAAATTTAAGACCACCAACCCTCTTAAAAATATTTTGGGGAATAAATGACCAAATCGAATCAGTATCTATAACACACCTTTTGATCCAATTAATTTTAAAAGTATTATAATCTAGCATTTTAAAACCTCCTTCAGATTTCTTTCCTACCAAAACTTTTTTTTTAAGATGGTGGTGCTTATTTTTCCAACAAAAATCAACCAATAATCGATTAATTTCTTTACCAGTAGAATCTTGAACAAATAAAGACAGAGGAGGAAATACAAATCTGGATAAACCTGCTTAAAATGGATAAATCCCTTCTTAACCAATTTAATCTTGTTATTAATATTGAGTTGCTGTCTAATTATCAAATTTTTTGATATATAAATTCCTAAATATTTAACACAATCTTTCACTGGATGTTGAACATTGATTGATCAGCAGAATCATGCACTGGGAGAATTTCACACTTTGTAATATTTAACTGGAGACCTGAGGCATCAGAAAAAGTTTGAATTAATTCTATTGCATTCTTAATTTGAGTCTTATCTTTTAGAAATAAAGTTGTATCATCAGCCAATTGCAACATTTTTATTTCTCAATTAAATGAAGTTATACCATGTAAATTTGGATTTTTAATTATACTAATCGCTAATAATTCAACAACAATTAAAAACAAAAATGGGGAAATTGGGCAACCCTGCCTCACTCCTCTGTTGATGAAGAATCTTCTAGAAGTATTGTTCTGCAATATAACAGAACTATTAATGCCTTTGTAAAACATTTCAACAGCCTGAATGAATTTATTTCCAAAACCAAATGCATGTAAGCTCTGTAACAAAAAAATGGCGATCAACTGTGTAAAAGTCATCTGAATTAACAAATTGATTATAATCTAACAGGTCCAATATAAGCCTAATGTTTGAACTAATATGACAGTTTGCCATAAAACCAGTTTGAGATTTACCAATTATTTTATTTAACCACTTTTTAATCTAGTAGCATAAACGAAGGCTAAAATTTTGTAATCAATGTTTAATAAAGTTATTGGTCTCCAGTTGTCAATGATCAAGAGGTCTTTGTCTGGTTTTGGAATTAAACTGATAATACCTTGTTTCATTGTTGCACTCATTTCTTTTTGTTCTAAACATTCCTTATACATGCTAAATAAAGAGTTTTCTATGAGCTCCCAAAAGGAACAGTGAAATTCAACAGTTAACCCATCTGGTCCAGGGGATTTTCCTTTCTTCATTGAAAACAGAGCTTTAGAGATCTCAGCTTTGGAAATATCATCTTCACAATATTCATTATAATCATTAGAAACTTTTGGAACAAAATGTTTAATTGTTTGTATTATATCTAAATAAAAAGTAAACAGAAAGATTGATCTGTATTTTTGTAAGTTTGTAGATTTATGGACTGAACTGGATTTTAATTTCTGGACACTTGCCATAAAAAGAAAACCATGAAGAAGTTTACTAATTGTGTTCACTTCAGTTTGTAAATAGACCGTTTGTAGTATTTAAGCATCCATATTTTCAATTGTTACTGTTTTGATTATTCAGGAGACAAGGACACTTGCAGAGATTGCTAAGGCTGAGCTGGACGGCACGGTGCTGGGGAACAGGCCCATCCGGATTCGTTTTGCCACCCATGGGGCTGCACTCACAGTACGAAACCTCTCACCAGTGGTGTCTAATGAGCTTCTTGAACAGTCCTTCTCACAGTTCGGCCCAGTTGAGCGGGCAGTCGTGGTGGTTGATGACCGAGGACGACCCACAGGCAAGGGAATTGTGGAGTTTGCCAATAAGCCTGCTGCTCGAAAAGCCTTGGACCGCTGTGCAGATGGAGCCCTTTTGCTTACAATGTAATAACTTTTCATTTTCACAGTATGATCTGTGTTTATCAGTGATTGACCTGTCTGTAGATATAAAATATGTTAAGTCAAGTAAGCGTTTTCACATGGAATTTTTTCACACTCCTTCATTTTTGTCCTTCAGGTCCCCTCGTCCAGTCATTCTTGAGCCAACAGAACAGTTTGATGATGAAGATGGTCTACCAGAAAAACTGTTGCAAAAATCAGCACAGTATCACAAGTATGAATTTAGATACACTGAACAAAATTATAAATGCAACACTTTTGTTTTTGCCCCCATTTTTCAGCTGAACTCAAAGATCTAAGACTTTTTCTATGTACACAAAAGGCCTATTTCTTTCTAATATTGTTCACAAATTGAAAACCTTTCAGTATCTGGTGTGACCACCATTTGTCTCACGCAGTGCAACACATTTCCTTTGCATAGAGTTGATCATGATTGTGTCCTATGGAATGTTGGTTCACTCCTCTTCAATTTCTGGATATTGGCAGGAACTGGAACACGCTGTCATCTACGCCGATCCAGAGCATCTCAAACATGCTTAATGGGTGACATTTATGCTGGCCATGCAAGAACTAGGATGTTTTCATTGTGTACAGATCATTGGAACATGGGGCTGTGCATTATCATCATGCTGCAACATAAGGTGATGGTCGTGGATGAATGGCCCAACAATGGGCCTCAGGATCTCATCACAGTATTTCTGTGCATTCAAAATGTCATCAATAAAATCCATCTGTGTTCGTTGTCCATAACATATGCCTGCCCATACTATAACCCCATCGCCACCGTGGGCCACTCGATTCACAAAGTCGACATCAGCAAACCGCTGACCCACGCCACGCCATACACGCTGTCTGCCATCTGCCCTGTACAGCGAAAACCTGGGATTCATCCGTGAAGAGAACACCTCTCCAAAGTGCCAGATGCCATCAAATGTGAGCATTTGCCCATTCAAGTCTGTTACGATGACGAAGAACTGCAGTCAGGTAGAGACCCTGATGAGGATGACGAGCATGCAGCTGAGCTTCCCTGAGACGGTTTATGACAGTTTGTGCAGAAATTGTTTGGTTATGCAAATCGATTGGTACAGCAGCTGTCAGGGTGGCTGGTCTCAGGCGATCTTGGAGATAAAGATGCTGCATGTGGAGGTCCTGGGCTGGTGTGGTTACACGTGGTCTGCAGTTGTGAGGCCTGTTGGATGTACTGCCAAATTGTCTGAAACGCCTTTGGAGACAGCTTATGGTAGAGAAATGAACAATCAATTCATGGTCAACAGCTCTGGTGGACATTCCTGCAGTCAGCATGCCAATTGCACGCTCCCTCAACTTGCGGCATTGTGCTGTGTGATAAAACTGCATATTTTAGAGTAGCCTTTTATTGTGGCCAGCCTATGGCACACCTGTGCAATAATCATACTGTCTAATCAGCATCTTGATATGCCACACCTGTGAGGTGAATGGATTATCTCAGCAAAGGAGAAGTGCTCACTAACACAGATTTAGACAGATTTTTGAACAGGATTTGAGAGAAATAGGCGTTTTGGGTACACAGAAAAAGTCTTAGATCTTTGAGATCAGCTCATGAAAAATGGGGGCAAAAACAAAAACGTTGCATTTTATAATTTTCTTCTGTGTAGTTGAGATAAATTGTATTCCATATGCATATAATATATCTAAAGAAAAATCGTTTTAAATTACCGGTAACCACAAAAATCTGCAATACAGGGAACGGGAGCATCAGCCACGCTTTGCACAGCCTGGCACCTTTGAGTTTGAGTACTCATCTCGCTGGAAGGCTCTGGATGAGATGGAGAAACAGCAGAAGGAACAAGTTGAACGGAACATACAGGAGGCAAAAGAGAAATTGGAGGCTGAAATGGAGGCTGCCAAACATGAGCATCAACTCATGATGATGAGACAAGGTAGTATGTATATTCGTTTTCTAAAAGAGACCCTTATTTTGCCCACCATAATGTTGTGAGAGAAATGCTTAAAGGGACAATGTGTAGTTTTTTAAATATTTTATTATCTAAAATAAATATTTTTATTCATAAATATGTCCTCAATGGTGTACAAATACCTCTGCCAATAATCTGACTTGTCCTTGTAAACGAAGAATTTATTATCTTTATATACATGAGACGGGTAGGTCCACAGAGGCTTCTATGTCGTTCCGCCATCTTGATAAACTATAATAGTAGAGAGGGACAAAAAGTACTATGCCAACGCATTTCCACAAGTCATTTTCGTTCAGAGCCAGCGTCACGTGACTAAAAGCAGCTGAACCGGACAAAAATATTTGAGAGACGGCAAGCTTATAATAGAGGACCATACTCATGTGAAGCCACAAGACTGGAATTTGCAAAAAAACAAGGTTTAATGTCAGGATAGCTTTTTACAGGTGAAAAGAGTTGATGCAGGAGAAAGCTTTCATTCAAAATAGACGCTGAACTTGCCTGCTTTCTTCTCAACCGGTAAGTCAATGTTACGATCTAAATTACAAGCTTTTTTTCAGTGCTCGTCACTTCTCTGCCTGAGGAAACTTTCAATTCCATCAAATATCCATTTGTTCGTTGTGTCAAGTTGCAGTTTGTTTGAAATAACAAACCTCTTCACCCGAAGGAAAACGCGATGAAGTGCTATTAGAAAGACATCATGTCAGGGTTTCCTATACCTTATAGTTTGTGACGACCCGCCACAATATCGATGCTGACCGCCACGGATTGATTTTCAGATTTTTAAACTATTTAATATGGGTAGAATTGTATTTTATTGTAGAGCTGTGCGCAGCTTACTCTTTCCCTCCCACTCCTACAAACTGACAATGGAGACGCGAATAGCCCCTCCTCTTTGAGCACGGTCTTGAGCATGCGTTGGAGGATGGATTGTTGCCGCTGCTTATTCCTCCAGAATCAATCCAGAGTTGAATGGTTAGTATAATGAACACTATAACTCTGAGAAGTTAAAGGAACACTCCGACTTTTTGGGACTTTAGCCTATTCACCTTACCCCCCAGAGTTAGATAAGTCCATACATACCTTTTTCATCTCCGTGCGTGCTATAAGTCTGTTTGACGCCACC